CTAGATAGTTAGCACAATAGATAGCTTCATTCCATAAGTAGGCTGATAGTTGGTATGCAATCAACATCAAGCATGTCCTTTCTACTATGATTTGATTTTTTTTTTTATTAACTTCATTTTATTAAAGAGTGCATGCTATGGTAAGTTGCCTCCTTATTCCATGCAGTATTAAAAAGACATTGAATTCTTGTGATAAATATTCTTTTCTTCTATTTATTTTTAAGCTAGATATTTATTTTCTTCTTTCTCTTTTTACTTAAATTTTGAATTTTCTAAATTTTCTAAATGTCTTATCTTTGTTTTATAGCAAATATATTCAATTCTTCCAAAAGTAATCATTTATGAATACTACAAAATAATTGGAGTCTCCCAAAGATGGTGTTCTCATAAGTCCTATTAAGTCAGAATGTATAAGTTATAGTACCTTTTTTACAAGGTGACGTGAATTTTTTAGAAAACTTTTTCAATGTTGTTGTCTCACAAAGCAGTCCTTGTACGTCTCTTCAAGTGTGTGGAATAGCAACAATCCTTGTACTTGACAAGCTCTTGATAAGTGATATAATCTAGCATAATGTAAGTGCCTAAATCTTTTATGCCATAGTTTAGCATTATCATCTTTTGTCATTAAGTTTACTTCAATGGTTTTTGGTTTTGATATTCTATCATAATCCTTAAAAGAATCCATTCTATTTCTTTCTTATTCTTGTAGATGTCAACTTTCCAATGCATTTTAATACCAAACAATGTTTATTAGTGAACATAATTATATTGCTATGGTTTGTTAATATTTATATTAAAATCAAGTTGCAATCTAAGACTAAGACATATAAAATATTGTGTAGATTTATTGCATTAGATACTAAAGTTACATTAGCAAAACAAGCAACCTTGATCTTATAAGATTTGCCATCAATGGTTTTTACTATCATATTTAGAATTTGTACATCTAATAGTTGGAGGTTTGAGATTTCTTTGATAAAATGATTGCTAGTTCTTGAGTTGATATACTAGTTCATGTTCTAAAAGTCAATAAGTTTGGCTTTGCTTGTGTTATCTCCAAAACTTCCATAAGTACTGCCTTCTACATTATTTATATTGGCACTATTGTATTGGTTTTATAAACAGCTTCAAGCAATGTGATTGGATTTTTTACATGTATAGCAATAAAAAAATCTTATGTTTTTGTATTATCTAAATCCAAATGTAGGAGGTTGTAATCCTACTCCAGCAAAACTTAATGATCTTCTAAGTTTGTCTTAAAGTTGTTGATTATTTATATAAGGTCTTGGTTCTCCAAAGTATTGCAATATTCCTTAAGTTAAGTTACTTTTCCTTTGACAACTTTTTCCATGCATGAAGTAATTATATCCACATCCTCTAAGTTGTACATATTGAAATTGTACAATTATAGCTTCTTTTTATCCCAATTTTTGTTGCCTTGCTATTATGCAATGAGTTTTAATGAGAAGCTTATCTATAACGCCTTCAAATATTGGTTGTATCATATTAGTGATGTCTTAAATCATCATTTCATAGCTTTGTAGTAATCCATTGAAAATTATATTTATAAGTGCCTTATTTGTAATATCTTCATCAAACGCCTTCAATTTGTTCTTCATGTTCATTACCACCATTAGATAAGTATTGATATCACTTCCTTCTTACATTATCATCCCATTGAGTTTGTTAGTCAATAACATAATTTGTTGTTAATCTCCTACATGAAACATTCTTCTAAGGATGTTCCATGAATCTACAAGGTCACTATATTGGAATATTGTACCTATCAAACTATCTACAATTAACATGATAAAGCTAAATTAAGTTCTTTGCATTGCCTCTATTACTTGTGTTTATGAATAAGACTTCTTTAATATAATAACAAGAAATATTGAAACTAACTTCTTTATTTCTACAATGCTCCACAAATTCTCTTTCTTTAGAATTACAAACATCTTCCAAACAAAATAGTTCTGAATTCCAACTAGTTCGTTCAATTCTCCCATGTTGCAAATAAAACTCAAGTGCTTTTCTATTAACAAAAAGATTGTTTTATACATATGTATTAATCTAATGGCATTCTCTGATAATCTAGTTTTCCCTAACCATGAATAAAAGAAGAGACAAGGTAGGATGGCTAATGTGGAACGAGCCATGATAACTCAACAATGCTTTTAATGTGGAGATTGAGAAGTAACTCAACACTTGTCATGGAGAGAGAGGTAAGAGACTACATCAAGCACGCAATAGTGGAGGTAGTGCCAAGTGACTTGATCGATTGACGAGGGATGAAGGTTGGATATCGCCAACAAGCCTCATTCATTAAAGAGTGTACATTTGGGGCTTGAGTCTCAAAGGCGGTTGCAGGCATGATACAACCACACCTGAACCGTCATCTCCAGCATGACGCAATTAGAGTTTGCATCCACGGCCGTCATTTATCACGTCCGGAATTCAGCAACCTGCCCTCTCTCTCCACATTCATAAACTCTCGAGGTGTATCTATTTCCCTGATTAACTGCTTTAAATCCTCATCCACCTGCTTATATCAAAACAAGGAAAACCAAGGTGCATTTCACGTTACGTTAAACTCATCAAGCCAGGTGAACAAACATATAAAACAGATTCTCATCTCTCATATTTTAAGTAATGACAAACAAATAAATCAATCAATAAAGCTCAATTGTTGCAGTGGAACATCCCATGAGCTGAAACGGTTCTTAATTGTGTACTGGTCTTTCGAGAAACCAGTACAAAGGAAGGAACAGCGTGATGCAAGAACAACATACCTTGATAACGATTTTGGGATCATTTAATTAGACAATGTGCTCTTGCGAATCACTGTTCATCAAAACCCAAACTTTCCCACTCGCTTTGAGATCCTAAGTACAGAAAAGGATACTAGAATTTGCACTAACGATCAAAATGATGTGTAAAAGTCGCACTCTGCACAATTGCTTCAAACAAACTCACACTTCAACAAATAAACGCAGATACACAACTTGAATACACCTTTGTTATGTGCTAAAATCATGCAGTCAAGTATGGTTACTTACAAGATAAATTTCTCCTCGAAGCGACTACAATGAGATTCTCATAATTTACATTTGGACGAATTACTAGCGCGGATTGCACACCAGACACGGCACGGTATCCGCGCTGCTTAGAAATCAACCATGCGTACCTGAACATCAGCAGCGATACCAGGATTCGAGTCTTTTAAATCACCCATAGGAACCCCTTCTAGAAGCTTCCTCACAAGTCGTGATTAGACTGCCAAAGCACAAAAACGAAATTCCTAAGCGAACCAAATCAAGTCCACTTCGCACTCAAATAGTCCACACTGAATGCAGATGAAGCGTGGATTCTCTTTGATCATGGCTCGATTATATCGACTCACAATTCAAAGTTTCTCAAAGCTTGCAGCTTAATGAAATGAAGTACTCGAGGACTATCGAATTTCAATCGCGCACAAACGAAGATTGCCCAAGGTCTTCACTCCAGCAGCCAGGAGAACTTGCAATACAATTCACAAAATTACACTTGAGACCATAATGGTATGGGTGATGCATTTAGAGAAACTTTGTACGCGAATCGCTGCCCGTCGAACGAAACCTTCACATTGCTTTTAAAGCTCTCAAATACATCCTTGATACCCTTTACATCGACAAGGCAGAGATCATTGATCTCTTCAGGCAGAAGAACCTGGCGTGTCTGCAAAAATCAAGAAAAACAAAAATGTTGAGATCCGTCCAAGAATTTGTGTGAAAATCATGCCTCCTACAGCACTCCCTCATTTAGGAAGGTGAAGAGAACCGGGTCGAATCATCGAAGCAACCAATGAGTTTCACGTAACAAGGTTCAAAGCGAATGCAATTTGAGGCACAAGAAACAAAATGGAAACCCACTTGGTACGCAGGGAGAGGACGTACTTCGAGCAAGAGTTCGATCACACGCTTAATTTGCGCACCGACGGGCGACTTCTGGATGGTGGCGATCTGTTGCAGCTTCTCCCTGTCATTAGTAAAGAAGAACCGCTGCGCTAGCGGCACAAGGGCCTGCGACCGAGGGGGCAGGGCGGGTGCTTTGCGAGAGGCGGAAGAAGAAGAAGAAGAAGAAGAAGAAGCGGCTTCGGGACGAGTAGGGGGGTGGCGAGAGATGCTTGCAACTTCTCTTGCCGTTTATTAAACTGCGCGAGCTTGTGTTCTAACGCCATGGTTTTGCGATCAGCGAGACTGATGCTCACAGAACTGCTGCAAACAATTTCTGGCGATTCCCGGGTACACAATCCGACACGCGAAGGAGCAGAAACCCTAAAAACACACAACCATCAAATAGAATTAATAGAAAGGACGGGCTTCAATGTCGGGATAAAGTCCACGTCGGACGCAAATCCATTGTTGGAGTATATGCCTCGTAGACTCTGTGCCATGTCAGCTTGTGACACGTTGGATTATGATACAACGTTGGGTGTCAAAGATATCCTCGTTGTCATGTTGGACCACATTGAGTATTAGAATTTTTGCAAATTAGGGTGTGAGTGATTTTATAAGATATTAGTTTGGGAAAATAATATTGATAAAATTGACTAAAAAGGTGGAATGATTTTTTTTTTTGATTTTTTTTTTGATTTTTTTTATAAAACAAATAAGACAATGCAAAAAAATTCTAAACAATCAATTATTTATTACACTATCCTTTTATTTCTTTTTTATGAATATTCTAATTATGTAATGTATTGTTGTATACAAAATGACTATTGGTGTTTATAGCTTTGCTTCAATTATTTCTAAAAACAATTATGTAGAAAACAATAACTAAATGTAATTGGTTATGAATAAATATTAAAATTTCTAAATGTATGATCTATTAAATTTAATAATACTATATCCATTCAAGCCATTTACAATATTTTTTCGAGATTTATTTCCATTTTTTGTAAAATCCTTTACTTCGGCATCATTAGTGGTACTTTAAGTGAAACACTAAAAAAACACTCGTGAAAGCAATCCCATATTTTTTCTCTAGTTTCAATGCGGTACCGTAAATTCAAAACTTCAGTATGTTAGTAGTTGTGATTTTATATCACTTGTACTTCTCTTTCTAGCTTTCCATCAATACCGCTGTCTTTTCCCTTCTTCAAAACTTTTCTAGATAATTTCACTACAGAAATCATTGTACTAGGCCTTGAGCTTTAGTATGGGAAGAGACCACTTGGCTCTGAAAATTGTTGTAAAGTACAGCACGCTGAAGAAACAGCAGCTTGAAAAACAACTAAAGACTAATATGTGGTGAGAGGTTCGGAATTTTAATAGAACCAACGCTCAAGAAAAAAAAAATCCTTGGAGAAGGCAAGACTCATCAGTAAAACTCCACATCCAACACTGTGAAGTGGCCGCAAAAGGAAGAGGGTTCATTGTTCGAAGTGCAGATGTACATGCACAAAGAAAGAGGAGGTTTGTAAAGCTTGCCAAGATATGGTGTGTTCATGGCGAATCCCGGTAATGCTTGAGCCCTGGTCCCACCGACTAGTGAGATTACATCACCGCAACTGGTGATGTGAATTCTTGTATACTTCCAAGGTTGCTTTTCCGCTTGTTGCCGATTAGTCCCGCCTCTCTCAAGACGGATGTCAGCCCGGTTGATGCGCTCCGCGCATTGGAAGCTCTCGGCAAGAGTGCGGGTGGCTGCCAATCGGTGTTGTCGAGATCTTGAATCTCCCTGGGGATGTCGGTTTTAACATCGGACCAAAGATGCTTCAACCTGTTGGCGCCATGGACAAAGCCCTCGGGTTGTGCTGCCTCTGCTTTGTGGACTGATTGGTTCGCGGTCTTAGGTGCCTCTAACGCGCTCTGTGCCTCTCTCGACACAAGAACAGACTCGACCTTTACCTCACGCTCCGTCTCATTCGTGAACTTTTTGTCCCGCTCTGTGCTTCTCTCCGCGACTAAGGAGATATTTGTTAAAATGCCGGAGCAAGCAGAATCCTTAATCTGCTTGCGTCGAGAAGATTCATTTGTAGTCCTTTTGTACGAAGCGAACCACTTTGCTTTTACATACTCAGGTTTTCTCCAAGGCGGGAGAAACATCCCTTTCTTCTTCAAGGACCGCTTGACCGCTTCCGAAATCACATTAAGAATCTGCAGCAGCCGATTCGCTGTTCCAACGAACACAGCAGGAAGCATTTGATACACATTCTTGTATTGAGCAGTGGGTCTTGCAATCTCAAATTGATCTTGAAAGTCAATGTCGACGATCACCCTCGCTGCAGATTCATCTAAGCCAGTGAAGACAACGTCTATATATTCGTAATCACCTCCTGGAAAGATGCCAGCGTGATCCCACCGCGACTTGCAAAGAGCGGCATTGTAGCCACTGCTTCGAAGATACTTGACCACGCTCCGTCTCCTACACACATTGCTAGCGCAGTCCTCTTTCTCACCCTTGCCATCGGTGATGGTGTCTCCTGTCAAAGCGTCCAACATATAAATCACTTCACCTAAAAGTGACCTTTCCTGCTCGTTGTCGCAGGGAACCAAGTTCTGCAATGCTTCGGAGAGTTCGTTTCCGAGACTGGCTTTGGCAATTTCATCTTCAAGGCAAGCGTGGCCATCACCATTGCAACAACCGGATTCGCAATTGCACCTGGCTCTTCCGCACTTCCCTATCTCCTCTTTCTCCATGAACTCATACACCATTGCAGCCAAGCAGTTCGAGCTGGGCCCATGCTCGCTCCCGCTGGAGCTGTAATTCACCTTCCCCATATCCTTGTCACTCCCTACGAGCCGCGCTCTCACATTCTCTGGCCATGGATCCCTGACTTGTTTAGTCCTGAAAACCTGAGGGCTGGTCGGAGTTGCCGGCCTGAGGCTTTGCATGTCGATTGAGTGAAGCTTTGAGGCTTTAATCTTGGTCGCAGTGGATGTGGTTCGTTCTCTATCTCCTTCTCTCCCCAACAGCCTTGATGTGTGTCCGCCTGTTTTTGCAGCTGCTTCCACTGGCCTGGGCTCGGCATCATATCTCTCCACGAAGTTCTAGTACAACGTTACTAGACACACCTAATTTATATTGCATTTTTCGTCTTCATTACTAATTATTTTCAACTGATGCTCATGTATTGCTTGAACAATTCTTCCAGGGAAGAGAGCAAAATAAGAGATACGAAACAGCTATGCTTCACCGGAAAAATGAATGCCATTGACGCGATGCATCTCATTTGCCTACCTGTTATTTCATCTCTCCACGACTCGTTTCCCTCGCAATCAAATCAAGCTACCGAATCCTGAAACCTTACAATCGAATCGCTGTACACACACGCACACACACAAACTCTCTCTCTCTCTCTCTCTCTCTCTCTCTCTCGCCACTAGACTCTGGAAGCAAAATCTGCTGATTTCACAACACCAGCATCATTCTTCACACTATAGATCTCAATCCTCTACAAACCTCGGCGTAAACCTAGATCTCTTAATCACCAAACTCACTCGAAATCACCTCAACTTCAAAAATCCGCCGAATCAATAGTGGAGGCGAAGTTCAAGGGTGATTGAAGGGTTTCGTTGGCAATCCTATAGAGAAGGGGTAGATGTCTCGAAGAGACGAAAGACAACGGGAGAGAGGAGCAGCGAGTGGAACACGACCATTGTGACATCACCAGCGAAGTCATTCATATAGGCAAACGCGGAGGAGATGGAGGAGGAGCAGGGAGGAAGTGGATCGATAACGGGTGACATATCCCTGCCCCCCCACCCCCACAGGCTCAATGGAACACCCCGTCCACCCGTGATGAGGTGGAATCCAGCTCAGCAGAGGGGCCATGCCCTTTCCCGTCTGGCAACCAACGTCTTGTCCTCATTCAAGAAAACTCCCCCACCTGCCCGTTCATCACCAATGAGCATTCCAAGCATCCGTCTTAAGATTGAAAATATTGGAAAAGAGGACTCTACTCTCAAAAAAAACTAAACTAAATAAAATTAAAACTAAACTAAACTAAACTAAAAATACACTAAGAAATTATCCTCCACTACCACCAAATGTTTCACAATTAACATCTAGGCTTGTATCTATTCATCCATTCATGTGTGACTTCATTTGTACATACATCCCAATGGAAAAAAGAGTTTGTTGGGAGTGGAAACCACAAAAAGCTTCAATATATGGTAATCACTCCACATCTCAATTGTATTTGTATTTAATTCCCTTGATAAACTCAAATATTCTTGTGAATGTACATTGTTAATTATGTTATTAAAAATATTATACTTTTAAGATTATTTCATTAATTAAAAAAATCTTCTAAAAATATTTCAATTTTTTTAGAAATCTTTTAGAGTTTCTTTTTTTTCAAATACTAATAATTCTATCTATAAACTTGGATAAGAAGCCTCTAATTTATGAACTTAACTTATAATTAAAAATAAAATTATAATTATTTTTAGGATCATTAATTGCTTTCTTAAATTTTGTTTATCATATGGTTTACAATCATTGTTGTATCTTATCTTAATTATGCATGGTCATTTTTTTATTGAGTTTTTTTAATTGTACACGTTTATTTTTGTTCAAAGTTCTAAATCATGATTTTTAATGTATTTTTCAAATAATCACATTTTCTAATTATATACTTAATATAATTATACAAGTATATTTTATTATATTTTAATTTTTTTGAATTAAATTAATTTAAAAATAATTATATAATTAAAATTAAAATGAATAATAAAATAATTATAAAGTAATGATCCAATTTATGTTTTTGACTTGTTAGATTTTTAATTAAAATTTGGTTAAATATTTTAATATTTTAATATTTATATTTGAAATTCCTTGATAAAAATAAATAAATATTAATTTAATTTAAAATATGTACAAAATCCTTATATCAAACATTTTACTTATATTATGTATTTTATTTATATAACAACAAAGATGACACTAAAAAAACATCTAATTTCATATTTTAAAAATTTACTGTCTTATCAATTAGAAGGTATTTATGCATAAAGACCTCCTAATTGATAAGACTAAATGTTTTGGTCTATGTGAGTAGAACATGAATGGACAAAAACAATAACTTGTTGAACTAAGTTAGAAATGAGGTTAAAGCCTTAAATAGAATAAAAAAAAATTCTAAATTACCAAACCTAAGTCGACTACCTAAAATAGTAATAAGACAATAGACATGAGCCAAATTTGGGAGAGGGTGCATCTATAATTAATATTGGTTAAAGGGTACCAACCTTAAAAAAGCTATAACTCATTCAAATATTATCCAAATTACATATTTAAGATAATATTTTTTTATTTAAATATAAAAAATATTATAACTCAAATATATGATATGAATAATGTTAAGAAAATTATAATATTATAAGAATTGGCACCCCTCCTTGATAACGCCCATATGTTTGCTTCTCTTAGTGGCCTTTTTAATTTAATTTTGAAAAGGTCCCTTGTAATTTCCTTCTCTTCTTTCTTCTATGCACGCTTCTTATTCCCAACATGAATGCTTTACTAATTCTTTCTGATAATCCAACAGTATATCTTGTAGACATGTATAACTATTTCATATTTGAATAATATATAGTGAAAACCTTGATGCCAAATCTTAAAATATATATATATATATATATATATATATAATTTATTGAAATAAGTTAATTAATATATTTGAATAATCATTTTATTTAAAATTAATCTTGTTAAAATTAAAAAATTCACTTCATTCAATGAATTTGAATTCTATGGATGTAGTCAAGGCAAACCCATTGTGAGTTGATGTTTTAAGTTGACAATGGCCACCTGGTACAAAATGTGGTCCAAGATCAGGAAATTTTGAAAAGATTTTTAACTTTAAACATGTCACGTTTTTTATATTTTTTTAATAAGTCAATAATAATAATAATTTTAAATTGGTAAAATATGTCTAGATGTCTAAATGAAGAAAAATGTATAGATTCAATGTATTCTGTCTATACTTTATTTATATTTACTGTTTTCTTAGTGCATGGAGTTGTCAGAATGGAAGTGAATGATTTCCCATCTTGTCTAGTTGCAATGAATCTCCACAACAAATGTGCTCATAAGGCTAAACCACAACCTGACTGGATCTCATATGTATTCAGTCATTCATATATATATATATATATATATATATGTATTGACACACACACACATACATATATGAATGAATGAATGAAAGTATACATTGTTAACAAAAGAATCTAACGCTGATATTGTTTTTAGTTTTATTTCATTTCATTTCATTTCAAGTTTTTATTTTCAGCTGCATTGTCATGGACTTATGGGTGAGGTGGTCCTTGGTGTCCAGTCTAATCTTAGGACACAGAGATCGAGGAGGCTAAACATCTGTCATCACAAAACAAAGCACGACAAAAATAAAATAAGATACCGAGCAAACCAACAACAAGAACGAAGCAAGTCGGTCTCTAATGCAGACAGAGTGTGTTTTTATTTATTATTATTATTATTATTATTATAAGAAGAGAAAGGGGATTAGTCAAGTGCAGATCACATGAGATCGAAAAGCGATAGAGAGAGAGCTGCGGAAAGGATAAGATTTGTACCCACAAAGACAAACTCCGATCATCGCAGCGGCTCGACCGCTCTCTCACATGTCCCTGAATTCGATTCCACACCGAACTGGAAATAGAAGCGTTGTTGCAAGTCTATCCAGAACTTCACTTTACGAATACTGTCTCCAAGTTGTACCACAATCCAGCCTCCAGATGCTGCTGCTGCTGCAACATGTGCACCAGTTGCGGACCCAGTCGAGTCGCCGCATCGAGGGTTTTTTCTTTATTTTTTTCCACTGCAGAGAGCATATGCCCCCTGGAACCTGCGATGACGATGACGTTTCATGAATATGCCGCTAGTATCATGCCAGTGGTGTTGTGCAGCTGGTGTTGTGCTATGCTCAGTAGCGTCCGCTGCGTGACTGCAATGTGCAGTTGGTCAGTCCATCAGTCAGTCAGTCAATCAGTGTGTGTGGGAGTATCTCTCGATCCTCAGCAGCAGCTCTGATGATCCCCTCTGAGCGGACCTAAAGGTATATTTGCCGGAGACTGCTTCAATATGCTTACAGCGGTGACGGATTCAATGTGCCCAAGCTTGCACACCGCACAGAACGCGTGCTATTTTTACTGGCGGTTTAGAGTGGACGGTCGGAGTGGGAAATCCGCCACTGTGCCTTTCTAGAAGAAAAAGTTTTAACTCTCACATCTGCTGTTGATGCTCAAGAGGTGATTCCCAGCTCATGTCGATCCCATGAGTGCTGTGGAATCCCTCTCCTGTTTCTTCAGTTGTATCCGAATCAAAGCTAAAAGGGATTCAAATTCCATGTGTGGGCACAAAATGGAGTTGGCAGATCTGGGGTCCACCGGTCTCGAATACAGGGGGCATGTGCATTCATTCAAAGGCTATTACCGCACGTTCACAACCACTGGCTCTGCTCGCACGAGGTGAAACTTCTTCAAGAAAGACTAACTCTGCGTTAAAAAAATATCAACTCGTTGAATGCGATTCTAGATTCTCGATTACTAGAACATGGATTAATTCGGGAGAGCTGCGAGTTTTCTTTTATCGCTGGAAACCCTTACTTGCGACATCGGCAGTCGCCCGATCTACTCCAAAGCTCACCTGGAAGCTTGTTTTTAGAATGAACTGGGTGAGTATACTGAAACTGAGTCATGATCTGCACAGTAGTTCACGAAGCTTGACTGACCCTGCACATCGTGTGCTGAAAAGGAAGAATAAAAGGCTTCCTTGATCCATCAAAGTCTGGAAACTGTGCCTTCAGATAAGATAGAAAGATCAGAGGCATGTAAGGATATATATATATATATATATATGCATGCATACACTCACATATATGTGTACAAAACCTGATATTATGGGAGCTCGATGCTCTGTGTGTACTTATCTTTGTGGGTTATCGGTTCAAACAATGAAAATATTCCCAGTCAGCTTTTCAAACATGTCTTCAGAATGGAACGACTCCAAACCAAGGCAAGCAGCTTTGTTGAACATAGTTGACTACAGGAGCATGATGTGGAAAAAATATGTGCAAGAGAATACAAAAATCTTCTAACCAAAAAATAATTGGTGTGTTAAAAAGATAGTTATTTAAAACTTGGTTGGTTAAACAAATGTTAAGTATTTGAGTAAGGATTGCAATCCATTGAAACAATAATGTTCCAAATGGTGGTTTGATTATCAATTTTGAAGACGGGACATAGGTAAGTAGGTGGTAAGTCAATTTGCTCCATCTTCTCTACTTCTAAGCTTGCTTTATTATGAGGTATTAGAGAGTGAATTCTAATTCATAAAAAAGCTCAAAATCCCAAAATTTGGTGTGTATATTTGTATGAATAAAACTATATTTACATATAGCATAACATCTAATTATTATTTTTTTGATTTATACTTCTTTTCTTATTGGATATTTATATAATTTTCAAATCATTTGTTTTGCCTTCTTAAAGTTTGTTGATTGTGCATTATTAAAATCAAAAGTACTTGGAGATCTACCATCCTGTTATATATATATATGTATATAAGAGTGTGTTTTTATAGTCAAATACAAAGGGTTGGCATCATTCTGAACACTGTAATGATAAGATTTTTGAAAAAGATGTGTAGTGTAATAACAAATCATCAAACATGAGAACG